TATGGTTTTGAATATGTTTTTTTTTATAATTTTGAATACAATTTTTGATTTTAATCGATTTTGGTAGAGTTTCCCTTTCCCAGAAGCCTTTTCCCACCACAGAACCTGATTTTGAAGCAAAATTGAAAAAAATACGTAAAAAATCGTAAATGCAACCAAGGTCCCCAGAACCTGGTTTTTAGCCAAAAACTCGAGAAATTTACGATTTTTTTACGATTTTCGTAGGGAAACGTACCAAAATCGTAAAAAACCTAAAAGAAACGTAAATGCCACCAAGGTCCCTAGAATCGTTTTTTTAGCCAAAAACTCGAGAAATTTACGATGTTTTTACGATTTCTTTACGATTTTGAGGGGACTTCCCTTTCCCAGAAGCCTTTCCACCACCAGAACCTGATTTGGAGCCAAAATCGTAAAAAAATCGTAAATGCAACCAAGGTCCCCAGAACCTGGTTTTTCGCCCAAAACTCGACAAATTTACGATTTGTTTACGATTTTTTTACGATTCTCGTAGGGAACCGTACCAAAATCGTAAAAAAAACATTTAAAAAAAACGTTAAATGCCACCAAGGTCCCTAGAATCGATTTTTTTACGATTTTGGCCAAAACCATTTCCAAACCCATAAAAAAATCGTAAAAAAAACATATCCAAATCCAAAAAAAACATATCCAAAGCCATAAAAAAATCATATCCAAAACAAAAAAAAAACCTAAGTGATTTCCCAACCGTACCCAAAACCATAAAAAAAATCATAACCACAATTTGAACCCATAAAAAAAAAAAACATAAATGGAAATCGTAAAAAAATCATAAATACATCATAAAAGAAATTATTTTGAAACCTCTTCATCCTAGAGACTTAGGAACTCTGAAACATAGGCATTGCTGCACATCAACCCAGGTCCCGCACCATCAACGAGTCCTGCCATGACCAGGTCCTCCAGTCCTAAGCCTTGAGTTTCCATCTTCCAGGGTCAAAGCCGTCGGTGTTCACGCCTGGTTATAGGTCTGGATGGGGAAGTACAAGCCGCCAAGGCCAAAGAGGAAAGCGCAACCTGCTTTCGGCGCAAAAACTTGGCGAATGCTGAAAGTGGCCTCTGCTCCAAACCTCTTGGGGAAGATCAAAGGAAAATGGGGAAGCGAAACATCCAAACATCAATAATGGATTACGTTGAGGCGCCTCAATATACGTTTTATCCTGTTTAGTCCTGAATACAAGAATGTATCCAGATGTATGATTCATCTTGGGCATGAGATCATTGGACTTTCAGTGATCCCAACCGTAAGGGCTCCCTACCCGATCGGTTGATGGCCGAAAAGACGAATCCGTTAACCTCTGGGTGCCCAAATGATTCTGTTAACATAGTTGGTTGATCCATCCATTAGTAATAATCATCCATCAGCAATCATCCAAGCAAGCTTTACCCAGAAAGCTCTGTGCTCCTCTGGGTGCCCCAGCATGTGACCACCTGGCACGTTCGGGAGGAAGCAATCCCCAACATTTTTTCTACAGAGAAACTTGATGTGTATCTATGTATCTATGTATGTATCTACGTGCGTACGTACGTATGTATAAATCTATCTATCCATCTATCTATCTATCCATCCATCCATCTATCCATCTATCCATCTATCCATCCATTCATTGATAAATTCATTCATCTATATATCCATCTATCCATCTGTCCATCTGTCGATCTAACCATCTAACCATCTAACCATCTATCCATCTGTCTAACCATCTAACCATCTATCCATCTCTCCATCTGTTTATTTATCTATTTACAGTATCTATCTGTCTATCTATCCATCTATCCATCTCTATGAAGTCCCAGCAGTTTCAATGCCCGTGACTTTATGACACTTGGATTCCCAGCTGCCCAGCTGGGGTTGCGTCGATTCCCAGCTGGGTTTCAGAACCACCACTGGTCACCACTACTGATCTTACATATCTACCCTCTGGTTATTTAACATAGCCATGGTATAGATGGCCCATAGAAATAGATGGTTTACCTATTAAAAATGGTGATTTTCCATGGCTATGTTAACTAACCGGAGGCTATACATATCTTATTATCCCTGACCTGAATCTTCCTTAAGCTTTCCGGAAACGTCCCCGAATGTGTTCGTTGAAGAGTTTTTGTTGATCCCATCGAATTTATGATGGTTTATATCCCATCACAATCCCATTACCCTCTGGTAAACTGTCACACAACTATGGAAAATCACCATGTTTTATGGGTATATCAACTATTTCGACTGGGCCATTTTCAAGTTCGCCAACTGTTGACATAACCAGAGGGTACCGAAATTTGACATCCATCCCGTGGGCGGTTCCGGACCTCACAAATGTGTCGCTGCAACAAACCTTTGACAAAAAATAGTTGTGTAGAAGGAATGCAGCTGTGACAAGTAGACATGAAGGATATTGAAGGATGATGGATGATCATGGCTGGCATGGTGGAAATCGATGAAAATGAGTTTCAACTTGAAATCATCTTTCTTGCGGAAAGCCTTGGTATTTTCATCGATCTTGGCCGCTGTCCTGTCAAGTTCCCTTCGAAAAACTCCCAAAGTTGGTCCAAGTTGAAAGCTGCTGGCTGTCATCTGTATGTGGAACCGCCCAGTCGGCTTGAGCACGGATAAGCGATTCAGCGGCAAAACCGTGGGAATTTGTGCCAAGCAAATTGGGATTGAACCAGCAAAGACATACAGTCAGACATGGTGAAAACCACCGTGCAGAATGTGGATACGTTATCTAAAATGGGGATGTGGTACCCTCTGGTAAACTAACATAACTATGGAAAATCACCATTTTTAATGGGAAAATCCACTATAAATGGTCATTTTCAATAGCTACGTTAAATTACCAGAGGGTAGTTCACAAGCCAAAATTGTAGAGCAGGAACCCAACAGCTCAGTGTGCTCTAATCAATTGATTGCCATTCGTCTTAGAGAGCTTGGGAGACGCCCTTCGCAATCGGAAGAAAAGACCATCAAAGGACGACACACGCGATTGTATACTACTGGCATAAAATGATGAAAGATATGAAAAACACATATCACCAACAAGAGGACCTGGCTTCTCTGGAGTCCCGGAATCCAACGAAATTCAGGACCTACCCAAGCCACCCTGTCACTTCCTGCAAACTTTTGGATGGGGTTTTGTGGATCCTCCAACTCGTATCGTTGGCACGGTGATTCAATTCCATGGCACCCTGCATCCAGAGACGAATCGCCGATCCGGACGCCGCCCTTTTGACAACAGATTTTCTGTTGAATGATGCTGAAAGTTGTTCACCAAAACACAACGGCTGTGTCGAATTCTTCAAGACCGAGGTCATGAGGCTGCTGATCTTTGTTCGAGCTATGGCATCCTAGGCCTCCAAGTCTTGAATTCTGACACGTGCCACGCCAAAAACGGGTGAAATCTGCTCTGGTTGATCCAACTGCAAGGTCCGCATGATGCAAACCTTTTGCAGGGACCACCCTTATGAGCTACAGGAGTCTGGATGAAAATCCCTGAGATCTACCTTCTGGCAATTTAAGATAGCTATCTAAAATAGCCGTTTATAGTTAAATGACCTGTTAAAAATGGTGATTTTCCCGCGAAATATAAACCTTTACCAGTTCGACCCCATCCCTGCAATTTCTAGGCCTTGGACGGCTGTTCCCAACGGTGCAAGACCACGAAAAGGCCACATATATGTGCACATGTACGGACATATGTGTATATATTATATATATGCGCATTCATAAACCACAAGAAACCAATATAATGAACTATATGAATCTATATGATATTATATGTACAGATACATGCAACCATATAGACAGAGAGAGCTGATACAGGTCAAGGCAAGCCAGGTACTGCAAGTATAGATATTATATACCCCTCGCGGTGAACTGGTCAATGATTGGTTGATGTATTCGTGCACTCGTTCTGGAAGATGGAAAGACAAAATCTGACAAGGATTGAGTAGTACTACCCTCCGGTACTGAGACATGGCAATGGAAAAGTCACCATCTATAGATATCTATAGATGGCTTTTCCCATTTTTTAGCCTCCATTTTTTGGGGATTTCTCAAAAAGTCACGTTTGATTTCCTGATAGTATCTCCAATGTTCTGATGACGCTGGTGGTTTATGGTGGCCTTTTTGGAGCAGGGATGATCACCCTTGACTCGTGAGGATGGCCACAGTAGGGGCAGTCCCAGGACCAAGGAAGTACTGGCCGTTACGGGGCGCCAGCTGCATACTTGACGGGGCATCACATGTCAGGAACCCACAGGGCTCACTTGGCTCCAGACAACCTTGCAGCCAAGCTGGACGACGGTTTCGGATGGTGAAATTGGTGAAATAAATCAGGTGCTTCGGTGCCATGATTCGTCCGCTTTGATTCTCCTCTTTGAATCTATGTCAAGTTTCTGATGCTTAGTTTGCTCAAACTTTTTGCTGTGTTTTCTAGGTCAATTGGAAGAACAAACTGCGCCGGTTCCAGACATTCCCCCGCTTGTCGCATCATACCCACATATCAGCCATATCGATTGGTTATAAGTGAATTCGAAATAAAACCATCATGCTCAACCCGTTTAAACCCATAGTTTTCTTCGCGCAGGCATAAACATCGTCATAAACATGTTCATTAATCACCTGCATGTCGACTCCAAAAAAAACCTGTCATGGGTTACATGCGCCATGTCGACTGCTGCTTGAAACCCCCATTTTTTGCTCCATTGACTCAACCCATGTGGTTCTGCGTCTATGACTATGACTCAAAATTGGCCCAAATAACATCGATGGCCTATACCCGCGTGGATACATTTATGCATAAACAAAAAGTGAACCTGAAACCCAAACCCATCTTTTTAATGTTATAGTAAGTTATATGTATACATATATATATATATATGCACATACATCCATTAAAATCTCGGCTGAATACCTAACGATTGCCGCTTCAATGCCATGTTTCTAACGTTTCTAACGCTGCTTTCTCGACTCATGATGTGCTGAGCCACTGCCGATTCTCCAAAAGGACTTCCCTGAGTTGTTGCTTCAGCCGATCCACCTGGGCAGATTTCAGCACCACCCGCACCATCCCCAAGTCATCAGCATGGCTGTAACTGGGTGATGACTAACCTGGGCCCCAGCCATATGGCTGCCATGGTCGGTTTTTGTTATAATGGGTTTCCCACATGACCCGTTCCTCTTTGAAAAACTGGAAAAAAATCTTCTGAGTTTTTCATAGTTTTTCCAATGAACCCTGAGTAGCCTCAGAATCTTGTTAAAAAAATGGTATGGAAAATCCACCAGAAAGACTATATCTCCGAAAATTGAGTGGAGGGTTACATGACATGCCTCAGATCCAATCTGTCTGAATCAGATTCAATCTCTGGCAAGTAGGCCTTAAAGTCCCACTACCTATTGCCTATTGGGGGTCCCCACACCTTGAGATTGCTAATCTGGGGACCCAAGGCAGCTTCTGGTGGATTAACCTATCGGACAATGGGATTTTAACCAACGTAGTACTGTTGGCTCAGCTTGCCAACTCTGACTTTAAAGTGATCATTGCAGAGGAGCTTCTTTGACGCATCGTTTGCACACTGCTGTTCCAAGAAAATTAAAATTGGGAAAGAGGGAATAGCTCCAAATGAATTGGTGATGTGACAACGAAATCCTTGTCATGTTATGTCATACCCTCTGGTAAACTAACATTGCTATGGAAAATGGGTGATTTATAGTTGGTTTACCTATACAACATGGTGATTTTCCATAGCTATGTTAGTTTACCGGAGGGTATGCCTGGTTTGCTCATCTCATATCCCTCATTTGTTTGACCAACAACTAGTCTGTTGCAAGATGCAAAGAGGACCCCAGAAAAAAGCTGGAACTCCGATCAATGTAGATCCCTCATCGGTTGGATTTCCCTTGGACAGAACTAAGCAAACCCAAGAATGCCTACAGACTATATGACTGTACAACAACCAGTAAAAGGGATGATACAAATAATAACCATGTCAAAAATATATAAAAATATCCTAATGCTACTGGGTATACCAGAGCAAAATAAGCTATCTATGAATGTAAACCGTGGTTGATTGATGTGTAGCCTCCAAGTACAAACCAGGGAGAGTTAGTTTGTATTGGGCTTTCTGTATCACATTTAGTGGGGATAGCCGCCATGTGAGACACCTCTGTTGTTTTGTATCTGTCCATATCTGTCCCATGTTTCGCACCAAAAAAAATGGTGGGGATGGGATTCATACCATCCCCCTAAGGTCCATCCATTCGCTCAAGGCTGCCGTGGAAACCCCCCAACTGGCCCGTTGAGGCGGGGTTAAACGCATCCTTTTCCCCATCAAAATGGCCATGAAGTGTGGTAAACCGACCGCATTTTGAGACAAATCAAGCCCATGGTTTTCAGCCTTATGCTCATTTCATCTAATTTCTTTGCCTTGCATGATTGGTATATGATTGGTTAGCTAATTATATCCAATTTACACCAGAGTATTCCCCTATACTATCAAATCGCACTGGTTGGCAAATAGGTATCCGCATTATGGATTATAGTAACCGTTACCCCCAACAAAGCAGTTGGCATACCCTCCAGCAATCAAACGTGGCAGGGGAAATGGAGGCCTTTTAAGCAGAAAAAAAATAGAAAACATCCTGTAAATGCTGGATTTTCCGATTTTCCAGCCGTGTTTGATTGATTACCAGAGGGCAACCACCTTCATTGACTTGTTTTCAGTGCTGGAAAATCGCCTCCCCATGAAGCTCTTCCCGCTGTCGAGACATGTCAGCCATATCCACCTAGTGGTCAGGCTTCGGCCATGAAAGTGCGCAAAAAAAATGTGTTGAATCCTATCAAACAATGGAGACTTCCATGGGGGTTGAGGGAAAATCTGCGGTACTGGTCAAAAAACTCCAGCATTTGGTGCGGCTTTCCTCTAGATGTTTTCCTAATCCTACATTGGTTGTGATGCTTTATGAGCAGGTGAAGAACCATCTAGCCCATTCAAAGGGAAATCGAAGTATTTGCCACAAGCAACAAGGTATGGCACAATTTCAGACAGAGGTCTCAAAACCGAGTGCAAATCCAAGAAGACCTCAGAAAAAAATTGAAAAACTGAATATCATCTAGGCCACAAGTGCTCCAACAGAAGGAGGAAAAACATGTTTTAAAAAAATATGTAAGTCTTCACCACCACCTGCGCCATCACTGGTTCCCAAAAGCCCTGCGTTTTCCTCCAGGAGCACAAAAGCCACCACCCCCTGCGGCCAACCTGCAGAGTCCTGATGACCTTTTGAGCTTCTTCTAAGAGATGTGGCGACTGGCAGTCAGTGGAGAATTGCTGCGTACCACTGCGCGGACATCTTTTCGTCTGCAAGTGCACATGGTGACCTCTTTGGGATGCCATGACTAAATCATAGCCCCAAATAAGGATCAATAAGGGGTCCCCGAATGAACGTATCCACTGTTGGGGACCAACATGTCACCACATGGGTCCTAAAAGATAGCACCCCCAAGATCCTGTGGTTGAGAACATCGTTTTCCGGTAGCCGTTTTAAGGTACCCCTGGTCATGGACAAACCCAGGAGGCATCTGATATGTTGACACTGTTTTCTTAAGTCCCATGCTGGATATTTAAGTGTCCCATGTGCTCCATGTGTGCCATTGTTCAATACTTAATGTCGATTAATGGACATACGGTCTATGACAAAAAAATCCACCATTTTACCTGGGATTCAAATCCCCAACTATTGGCTTATGACACTGTGTTTACCCCAGTCTTCTTAGCTATACACATGACATACCATGACCAAAAGAGAGGCAATTTCTCCAGGAAATCTTGGCTTCCCCGTGATATATCCAAAATCGCATCATAGACACACGGAAAAGAATGCCGAAAATCTAAAAATCTCAAAATAGTCAAATGGTGATAGATGTCTTTTTCTATCTATATTTTCTTGATACCTATATATATAATTAGACACTTACACTTCTGGGAGACCACTATTCTCTGGTTCCCTTTCGGACCGCTGCCTGGCCCGGCATCAAAGATTGCGCCGTGCGCGACTCTTCCAGAGCCTGCCCAATGTGCGGAAATGGTGGCGAAACGTCAACAGACATTGGGAAATGAAGGAGAAAATTGGGATGCAACCAGTGAAACTTGAAACTTTCACCAGACACTGAGGATTGAACTAACCAACAATCGGGCTTCAGACCAAAGATAGGGATTCAACAACCAGGACTAAGGAAAACTGCGGAAGCAGGGAATATTGGCAGGCTGATATTGTGATCAGAAAGCCGATCCAAGAGACGCGAGGATGTACAGGAAGCACATCCCAAAACCACCTAAAGCCTCACATTGCTTTTCTGCTGGCACCTAAGGGACAAGTACCGGCGACTCCTGTTTCCCTTCACCAGAACCCTCATCAGCATGTCAATGTATTTGGTGCGTCCCATGAGCCCAATGAAAGGGAATACCTCCAATGTATCATTCTACCCTCTGGTAAACTAACATAGCTGTTGAAAATCACCATTTTTAGTGGCAAAACTCACTATTTCTACGGCCATTTTCAATAGCTATGTTAAATTACCAGAGGGTAATCAGAAATATGATGATCAACTATGAGATTTTGAGTAACCCATGTTCAGGGAGGAAAAACACAACGGAAGGCAAGAACTAAAAACCTGATACACATCCCCACGCCCACGGGCGGATTGCAACCACGAGTTGTGGAATATCACATTGCACATATATATATATACATTTACAGACTGTCAAAAAAAAAACTATTTGTGCTTTACAATTCCATCTCGATAGAGTCCCCAAATGGGATTCCAAAATTTGGATTTGGAACATATGGAATAATCATCTAATGATTTTCCATTGCCAGGTTGAATTACTGGAGGGGTGCCGAGCTTCATGTTGCCATGAAAATAAATGAACTTTATAGCCGGCCTTTTTCTACGAACATGTTGAGACACATCCAAAAAAAAAATAAATTGGACATATTGACCAATAATACATCCAGATTATATCCCCAACATATCTCTTTCCCCAAATTTTAAACACCCCCCAAAAACCATGGCTTGGAAGGGGATTGGACAACATATTTGGTACGATACACCAGCTGGTGTTTAATATTCGTGGGCAGTGGGAAGGGATTATATGACGGTTTGTCAAAATGTCTTTGCCTGGTTTGGTTGATAAATCGTAATTCCACGCGTGCCTCTTCATGCTTGGTCTTAAAAACTACAAGTATGGCTTGTCTAAATAGTCTTAAACACTGCATTTTATCTTTCATCTTTGAAACCGCAGCTCAAACCTGCAGAAAATGCTAACGCACGTCTGGAGTGGGTGCCGCTGCCAGTGATTAGTCGTGGAAATTCAAGATCTCTGGCGGCAACTGGGCCATGGGCCAAAGCCGCGCTTCTTGCGCAACTTTTGCGAGCGCATTGCTAGCGGGGATCTAGCGGGTAAAATTACTTGCAATTCGCAAAATTAAGTGACAACCTTTAAAAAAAACGTAGGAAAATGGTTGAGTAGAACAGAAATTCACTAAGACGCCCTTGGGTTTAAGGTGCTAAGTGTTACATCTTAACTTTTCTCCATGTTGAAAAAATATGCAGTTGGCAACATACAAAAAATCGTTGAACATGCATGGATGTGAAAATAACTAGCGCACACCTAGCAGGTTTGCAAACGCGCTGCCTTGCAGAATTGGTGAATCTAGTTGCGTGCCGCCTCATAGCGAAGAGGAAAAACCACTAGATTCACACTTATTATCAACCACTGGTACAAAACTTCTGTCAACTACTTTTGGCAAATGGTCATATCTATTAAAACCATTTTACTTGGGGTGAATTATTGACGAATAGCATCGAATAGCTGAATGTCCCAGTATAATTGCCCATATTATTCCAATGTTCATTGACTGAATCTCAGAGTTCATTGATTTGGAGCCATCTCCACGAAGTGGGGCCCCATAAATAGCGAAATGAGTTGGTTTAGTTCACTAGGTGAACCTTTTGGCTTTAGGAGCCACCTTAAAGGTTTCCTAAGTCACCGGGGGTACCCCCACATCATCCAAGTCATTACCCTCTGGTTATGTCAAAATAGCTATTAAAAATGGCCCAGTCGAAATAGTGGATTTTCCCATGAAAAATTATGATTTTCCGTAGTTATGTTAGTTTACCAGAGGGTAAACCAGATTTTAGCATTGAAATGCATTTTTTCACCCATGGTGACTTGGGGATCTCCCATGACTCAAGAAACCCCCGTGTGTGAGCTTTCCCGAAAGTGACGGTTGGATCCCCAAAAACCATCAAAAACATAGGTTTCAAAATCTTCAAATGGTTTTGACTTGGATGAAACTTGGGGCTACCCATGGCTACCCCCATGACTTCAGAGATCCTCAGTTCCCAAAAATCCCCACGACGAACCCGTCAACGCCTCCTTCAAAGCCCCATGGAGCTGCCCCGTGTGCCAGGCATCGTAGATGCTTTGCCGCACGCGGTGTCTCAACTCGTTGATGCGGCCTGGGCGCTGTGCATCCAAGGCGTTTACTTTGTTCTATAACCAGCAAAAATGCTGGGTTTTAGATGATGTATGGGGATACAGAAGGATATTGCTGAGTAATGGTTAATACATGTTAATACAATCCGGCAATTCTGTATGAGAATGAATTGATGACCATCCCAATATGGATATGCAATCCAATCTGATCATCTTGGGGGAAGATTTTTCGACAAAAGTACCATCTGGTAATCAAACATGACTGAAAACACATCCCACTTAGTTCAATCATGTTCCCATTTGAATGTTGGGTTTCTTCGGGAATTTCCCACCAGGCCATGTCTGGCATAACCTGGTAATATCTGCTGCGACTTATCCTGAGAACTTTGATGAGTCCTGATTTCTTGGGTCATCTTGGACTGTTGCAGCCACCGACTATATGGCTTCGCGTCGCTAAGGCTTATCCATGCCTAAATCCGGCTTCATCGGAGTAGACCTCCAGCAGCAGACCTCACATCTTCTGCTCGGTCCCCGGCCCCTGGCCCGAAACTCCTCAATGGCCATCGCGTCCATCGAGTGACTGCAGGAGCCTTTTACATGGGACACGAGTCCCAAAGCTGAACTGGACGGAAAAAAAAACGTCAGTCACCTTGCATGTGGTTGGGAAACTCTTTGCTCCGACTGGCTTCCCATTTCGGAATATGGATACCACTCCCTGGAGGTGATTTGGTGCATAGGCCCCAAAAAAAACGCAAGACAATGATCATGATATCACGGATCAAAACATGTAGTGTAGAAGCCGTGGCCGCCACCGGAAGATGGTCAATGAAAAACATCATATGCAAGCCTATCTTGCATGCAAGCACGCTTGCAAATTGTATGTGACTGTGTTCTTCATTTTCAGCATTGACCATCTGGCACTGGCCTGGACAGCAACTGTCGCCACCTGGGCATTCTGAGGATTTCAAACGACCACGGATAGACGGAAACCTATGTGAATCTATATTATATAAACTCGTCATTCCCAGTGCAAAAATCTTTCAGCAGGATGCATATCCTCCCAACACCGGGTTCCTTCCAACTTTCTTCACTGAACATCAACAAAATGCTTGAAAAAACAATTCTACCCCAAAACCATTTCAAGCCAAGCCACAGACATGCGATACTGTTGCGAAATCCTGCACCATTATTTATCTCATAGAACTGGATGATGGGAAATTTTACAGGAAAAACCTATATTTGATGGTAAAAACCATGGTTTCCTGTAGATTTTCCCTTAAATCAATCCATTATTTATCAGGTGGTGTATCCCGATTCTCCCAAAAAATTGGCGTTTATCCCAGCACATCCGGTTGAAACAGTTGAAACCAGCCCGGCGCCTTCCTGGCAGCTGCAGGTGGCCGTTTTGAAGACGTTCTGCCGCCAGGGTTGAAGTGGCCAGAAACGGATGTGGGGCTGGTTGCTTTTGGCCATAGGAAAACCCATAGGAAAATGGGAAAACCATAGGAAAAGCCATAGGAAAATGGAGATTTTCCCTCTGGTAAACGTTTACATCCCGAACTGGAAAATCACCATACTATTGAAATAGGTAAATCAACTATTTCTATGTGCCATTTTCAATAGCTATTTTGACATAACCAGAGGGTACACCAAGCCCAACACGTGTTTTTCAACTGCCTCGACATAAAGTGAAGGCTAGAGCCAGCTGTTTGCGTGGCTCATGGGGTTCCTGGAAAAATCTGGTAGCCTCTTGCAATAGCTTAGCTCAGGATCCAGGCAACCACCATCATTACCCTCTGGTAAACTGTCCCAGAACTATGGAAAATCACCATTTTTAATGGGTAAATCCACTATAAATGGTAATGTTCAATAGCTATGTTAGTTTACCAGAGGGTAAAATCTCACGAAAAATCTCATAACCTAACTGGCTAAATTTGGCTAAATAGTCAACCCCAAGATTCAGAATGACCTAGCTGACCTAGCTTTACAACCCAGCACGAAGGGTGAAAAGGTTCCGTTCCAAGGTTCCATTCCTGTTTGTGCCCTCTCTGTGATCCATTCGTCGACCCACCCAACAAGCACTGCTGTTGGAAATATGCCAAATACGCATTAATTATCTTACAATCCTGTTTTTGATATTGGATCATATTATGATCTATTCATTTGGACCGCCAATAAAGTGACCTTCAACTACCCTCTGGTAATCAAACATGGCGTGATGGAAAATCCCCAATAGTCCGATAACACGGGGATTCCCCACCTGCAAAGCACCCTGCCAAGCCCCATTCCTGCTGGCAAGCAGTAACACCTAGGAAAGCTACCGGCATGACTTGTGTTACACCGGCTTACCTTGGCTTATAGGAACCCCCCCCACAAAAAAAAAAAGTAAAATCCTAGTAAAATCCTCTCAAGACAGTGGTGATTTGTTTTCTATTTTTTTGGGCTTCACTATTATAGGGTGTTTTTTAAATGTGACTTTCAAGCATTGTTTGGAACCAAAACCCAATCACTTGCTTTGCATTGATGCAAGAGGTCATAAACCGTAGAACCAACCAGCTTGAAGCAAAGCGTTGGTTTATACGGTATATTTATATCGAGGTGTCACCATTTGCAAATATTATATATATATGCATATGCATATACATACACACACATATATATATATATTAGACATTTACATGTGTATATATATATATATATGTATATGCATATGTATATGTATAATATTTTATAAAATATCATATCATATCTGTGTGTGCGCTTCTTTATTTTAATTATTTACTTGGGCACCGACCCCAGCCATAGAATTTGGGGCTCCAAACTCTCTGGAGACGACTTCTGGACTCTTCCTGGAAGAGGCCCCCAAGATGGGTGTGGCAAGGCTGAAAACCGAGGTGATTGAACCAGTTACCCTCTGGTAATTTAACATAGCTATTGAAAATTGCCATTTATAGTGAGTTTTCCCATTAAAAATGGTGATATTCAATAGCTATGTTAAATTACCAGAGGGTAGCTAGAAGATGACCCAATGGAATATATGATTCAATAACCACAATCACAATCAATTATAATTATCACTGAATCTTCTGCATATCTAGTGGGGGGCAGTACGAATTATGATATATTATATATATTTCTCAGATGACCTCTCTATTCCTCCGTCCATTTTCCAGCTGAAAATCACCCCATATCACCATTTTACAGCTCGAGCAGCCCAAAGGTGGGCTGTAGTGACCTCCATTATCAGTGCAGGGTTTACCCTGACACCTCCAAAGCCTCACTAGTGGCTTCTATTTCTACTTTCTTTCGCTAAAAAGCTAAATCCATCTGAATCCTGTTTTGTCATGGTCTTTCTTCAGCTAAATCCGTCTCTAAATCCTCTGTTTTTCATCATCTTTCTTCGGCGAAATCTTCATCAATAAAATCTATGGCTACTAAATTAACTAATTAATTAGTATCTGATACTAAATTACACTAGAAATCTCTTCAACTCGCTCCCATCATTTCCCATTCATCCGACTTCCAACGCTCCAACGCCCCCCAACCAAGGCGCCGGATCCCTTGGCGATCCGCTGCGCGACTCGCTTCGCTCATGGCCCATCTGCAGGAGCTCCCGCGCGCGCATGGGGCGACTCTCGTGGCAGCTTTTCTCGCCCTGAGATGGAAAATTAACCGTAACGAAGATCTGGAGAACTATTTTTAGAGCCAATTGTTTGAAGGATTTTGTGAAGCGCCAACATGAAAGAAGGAAAATTGAGGGTGGTACCCTAACCATCATTTGCAGCATTAATCTACTCTGTCCTAGACTCCTAGACAAGGAAAGCCTTAAAAAAGGATCAATCCCGCGAGTTTGTAGCCAGGATGTTGCCCTTCGCAAACTGCTAGCCTCTCATCAAACAAGGCTAGAAAGTCATTCAACATCACCATTTCTGGATGACCACTCTGACAGGGCACCCCAAAAGTGTAACACCCTTGCCCTGAATTTCTTGACCAACACTCACATGGCTAATCTATGCTAACCTGAGATGCCCTTCAAAACAAGGATTGTTAGTCTTGGTCGCCCATTTCCAAATAGAATGCTTTAAAACTATGCACATCAACAATAGTTAAACCATGTTAAACCCAGAGTTTTCCCACCTGTGGCACCTTCACTGGCCTCAGGTCGCGTGGCTGAGATTTCTGGCTCGAAATCTGGAGCGATTTTCTGCCTGTTTTTTAATGCCATGTAAAACATAATGTTGGTAAAGCAGGGGAAAACACCCATTTGGGAATGGTAAACATAGCACCTATTTATGGTGATGACTGGGGGATGGGTTATTATTGTTTTACCCACATTAATAAAGATGATTTCTGGCCCAATTTCCCCTTAGACCAATTCTTGGATTGGATAAGACATGATAAAACCATTAACGACGCCCAGAATCAGCGGAGGGATATGGGGCATACCAGCCAAAACGCGGGATTGACCGCAATACCCGGCTGGCTGGTAACCGCTGGTAATTTCAAACCATCCCAAAACATTGAGTCAACTGGGGTCAGCATGATTACTTTTGAAAACAACTACCTCTCAGGCCGAGAAAACCCCGGCCAACAATCATTTGGGAGGCTTTGTCACTGCGAGTTCAATGTGCCCTGGTACTCAAAATGACCAAGTTTATGCAACCATGGGAGTTACAATGGACCAAATGTAATGCAGGCACAGTAATTGATCCACGTAGATTTCCTAAGATGAGCTCACCTATTCACGATCGTGTTCGTTTGTTGGGGCGTTCTGCTTCTAATTTCTGGTGAACTTGGCAATCAAACATGGCGATGCCCAGCCAATTTCTCAATTTTTTGCGCGCTCGCTGCGCTGGTCAAAAGATGCCGCCGGGATCTGTTGCCCCTGGCGCTTCACCAACCCTTGAAGCCCTTCCCCCAGACGGGCATCTGCATGGGCATCCACATGTCGTAGCCATACCCAGGGAAGCCGCCCTTGCCCCAGTCCCAGCCCTTGCCATAGGAGCCTTTGCCCCAGTCCCCCTTCCCCCAGCCGTAGCCCATTGCTTTCATCTGTTGCACCTGGTTACCTGCTGAGCCCAAGAGCATCACATCTTTGGCCGAAGGCCCCTTGTCCTCCTGGTCAGAAATCCCGCAAACCCACCGTTTAAACCGCTTCACCGATACATTCTGAAGACATCCGAAGGTATGAAACTTGCATATGGAGGCGATATATGACATCTGATGATATTGAGTTCTCATTTTGGGGTGAACGTCTCACCGTCTACTAATTCCAATCTTTTGGGCTTGTGGGTGCCAAGCCAGTAATTACAATTGACAAGGAGCCGTCACAGGCCCCATATCCTCTCCCAGCCAGCCCGTGACCCCAGTCCTGGCTCACCTTAAATTTACAGAGCCCTCCCTGAGGACCAAATCCACCCGGCAATTCGGATTTCAACACAAAAATGTCCTGCCGGCTGTGGGTTTCGGCTTTTTCGGGACCCGGACCAAGGGAGAAACAAATCCTGAACCAATGGTTCGGCGGTGGTTTCGGATGGCTGGATCATCTGCTTCAACGGACAATCACTAGGGGCATCTCCAGAATCACTGGTTGGTTTCCAGGCTGATTCTACATTCAAAATGGACTCAAAACCTGCAACTGACAAAGGGATTGCAAGTGATCATGCACTTGGATTGTTGGGCATCTTAGCTACAGCGTAGTCACCCTTCAAGGTTCAGAGGACATAGCAAGCCCTCGGTACTATAGACATACTGTACGTTATCAAAACACTTGCGTAAATGTGCACAATATATATATATACACATTATGTACATGTAAATGTATAATTACATACTCCACTTGTGGCTAACAACCAACACTTCAACTAACCCTTCACCAAGGTCTACGCATAAAATGGGACTGGATTCAATTGCAGCACCCTGACGACTGGCCCTCCTTGTCTGGAAAGGCTTCGCAGGCAATGAAGCCATAACCTTTCGCAAGAGCTGTTGTGGCGCGAAAAAGCACTGAAATGTCTGCACAAACTTAGTTTTGTGTATACGTGTACGTATGTAATTATGTATATGCATAACATCTATATTCATTGAGTATTCTAATACTACTGTTGTTGTGTAGTTATTTATCCATCTATTGATGCCTTCTACATTTGTGCGTGATTCTCTCCGATTCCATTGGTTTGAAGTGATTGGCTGGAAGAGCCAAGGGAACTCCATCACTACTTTCAATAGGCTCTGCCACTATGCCAGCATCAAAACAATGCTGCTGTTGCACTGCTGACTGTGAAGTTTTAGTTTTCTGGGCCCCTAGGAACATGTAGCCACCCCTTCTGAAATTCCACAATTTCAAATGCTGCATCTGTGCATTTAAATTGCTCAACTCTGGTTTTGACATGCGTTGCCATGCTCTGCAGTTGAAACATGGACTCACAAAATCCTAGAAATTAATAGTTGCATTTAGAAAATCAGCATTTTCAAGCGCCAGACCTCTATATATAACTTGTTCAGCACTGATTTTACCATGTTTTGCCATGCTCTGCAGTTGAAACATGGTTGCAGAAAATTCCAAACATTAGTTTTGGAACCTGGAAAAAACAAATTCTATCTCATACGGCCTCCAGCAGAATGCAAGTTCTGTATCCAAAATGTGTGTTTTTCCCACCCCCTGTGGTGAGAATCATCATTTTCACAGAAACGGACATAAAGCCACATTACCCACGCAAATTTTACTGTTAAGTAGTTTTGAGCCTTCAAAGCACAAACAAAGGCTCGCCAAAACAGCAAACATCCAAAATTCCAGCGCATTCCTGGAAACCATGGAAAACCATGTTTTGGATATAAGCAAATGTTCGGGGCGAATCCCCAATTTCGTGGTGAAAATCCCAAAGTGTGGTGGTCTAATGAGTCTATATAATCGGTTCAACATGTTTTTTTCCACTGGCTCACAATCACACTTCAAACAGTGCGGGTGAACCCC